TAGTCGTGAGCCATATATGGTTACCTCGACGCGAGACATACCTGTGCTGCGGTACTTCAGCAGCTGCTCCTGGAAGTCTGCATCTGGGTTAGCGACCAGATGATGGAGCTGCGAGCCAAGCTTAGACCTCAACTCACGGCTTTCCAACATCTGCACGAACTTGTTGTAGACCTTGACACGAAGAGGGACGTCTTCAAGGAATGGCACACTCCACTGCCATGAGATACAGTTGTCGCCAACAGAGTGCCTGTCGTTGACAATGTCCTCTTGTGTAAGCCCTTAAGAAAAGAGGAACTCCTGGATGTGCTGGCGGTTAGAGATGTAGGTGCAGTCCACGGCGATGTCCAGGTCATGGAGTACAATACAGGCCATCCTTAGCACACGTAAAATCTTGGGGAGCTTGGAGAGTACGTCTAGTAGGCCAACGTTCTCAAAGGCTACCCGCACCGCTATATATGCAGGCTCGTACCCGTCTTCTCCTAGTTCCGTGCGCTTCTCCTCGTGAGTGTCCTTGTCCAGCACGTCGAAGTCCTTACAACGCCCGCTACCGAGGTGGAAAACCTTGTACTGGTTGGTGTCCAGTACGCGGGCTAAACATGCACGAATGGTGCTAAGAGCCATGCCAATCTCCGTGGACTTCCTTGCTAATGGCCAGTGGGTTGCGCACCACAGCATAAGACTATCGCAGAAGGGAGCACTGGTAGTACCCCAGCCCGACATCTTTGGCCCTAAGCGGGTGTAGTTCACGCCGTATACATCGCTCAGGTACTCTGGGTGGTCAGCAAAAATCTTAGACGTAGACATGGTTGTTATATGTGTGACCGAGGCTTTTAAAACATCGGCCAGCCGCTGGGTTCATATACCTGGCCCTATTAGCGCTTACGACGGGTAACAGAGGAATTGTACTCGACTACCATCTGTGGACTGTCGAACCTGTCAGCCGTAAGCCAGCTGTTGTTACTCTCAGGGTAACCAGCCCACTTCACCAGGTACTCACGACGATGCCTAGGCCCTCGGTGACCTACGATAGCCTCGACCTCGTAATGGTCACCGGCCAGCTCCTCGTCCTCTTCCACGGGAGGGTCATCGTTGAGACCCAAGGAGAGGAACCCCCGTTGCAACTCCTGGAGGGCCTGGGCGTCTTGCTCCTTGTCCCTTACATTGGGTGCATGGACAACGTCATAGACGCTCCCTGATGACCCATTGGAGTAGTCGAATGCTGGTTGCATCCAGAAGGTGTGGTGCTCGGCAGTAGGGACACACCCAATGGCCACAAACTTCTTA